AAATGTTAAAATGGCTTGCCATAAGTGCAGCCTGTGTGGCATAAATGTGCAGCTAAAGCAGCCTTGCAGCAGCAACTTTACAGCCAACGACTGCTAGCCCCTGCCCCTAACCAATAGTTTTGGTGTTTTTTTATCCATTTTAACCTTTTAACTTTATTTTTCAATGCTGTTTAGCTACGCGTACACAGAGATGCAATTACGCGTTATTTCTTTCCTATCCGTATTCTGCTCATACTCTGCCTAATTTTTGGCTTTGACATTTTTGCTCTTGCCACTAACCAGCTCACTCCTAATGCCTAAACCCAATCAACCAAACCAATGGAGAAAAAAAAAAACATTAGCCAATTAGAGGCAGAGTAGGGCGGGTATTTGTAGAATGCCGGTAGGAAAGAAATTAAGTGTTACCCAAGTATTTACCTAGATTCACCAGGAGGTGGTGGTATGCAGTGAGAAATAAGGGTACTCATGGACAAAAAAACAAAACAGTACCTGTGAGTAGTGGCCCATTTCAGGCACTGACCCTGCAGCAGCAACCTGACTCTCAGCTGCCCATGCAGCAGAAGCCTCGCAGTCAGCACTTGGCTCTGCCCCTAATGTACCTCCTCCTCCCCAACTGCCTGATGGACATGTCCCTGCATCTGGCGCACCAGCCCTCTAATTAAACCTAGAAACAATGGCAGCCTTTAAGCTAGAACTTGTTTAGACCATGCACAGTAAGTCATAGCTATTGCTTACACAACATTACCATAAAAAATTAGGCAGAGATGGATAATTTATTTTTTACATTTTATATGAAAATGCAGCTGGAGCACAACTAAATAACAACACAACTGAAGGAGTTGGATCGAAGAGTGATAGTGGAATTAAAGAAGAGGTACTAAAGTGGGAATGTAATCTGAAGATCTAATTACAAAACAAGAGTGTTAAAACTTTCACTCTATCAAGCTCCTTTTCCTTGCAAAGATCTTTTCCCCATCCAAGAAATGATCCATGATGATCCATCTAAATAAAGAGGGTGTCAACTTAATCTGGGGAACAGCCAGAACAGTCACAAAATAATTAATGTTGTAACTTTGATACAAAAGCTTTACAGCCCTTATTTTAGTCAGTGGCATACTGTATGCCTAACAGGAGAGACACTGTTGGTAAAGTGAACTCAGTTGAATCAGGAGAGACAAGTGAAGGAAGTAAGATAATTGTTTATTATAACAGAAGAACAAATGATTGATGTCTTGACAGAAAGTCTTCGGCACTTATGCTCTCATTTTGCAATTGAGGGGTGTCTGAGATAGATCCCCCTATGGAGTCCAAAGACTGGTGGTGGTCTGTTGAGGCGCTGAAGAAATTATGAAGCTGATGAGAGAGAGAATTTGTTTTAAAAGACAGCAGCAAGAAGAGAGTGTTACAATGCAGCTGATATCACACAGCACCAGAATATGACAGCAAGGAAATTATGAGTAAGCATGCGTGAATGACAGATATTAAAACAAAGACTATTGTTTTGCTATCTGTCATATATGACTGAACTTTTGCTATAGCATCATTTTTTAGCATTACTTTGCATCACATTATATATATATATACACACACACATACACACAAAACATATATATATATATATATATCATGAAAACATTCATGTTGCAGTGTCTAGATATTGAAACCAAACAACAAAACAAGTATTTTAAGTAAGTAAGTAAGTAAATTTAATTTATAAAGCACATTTAAACACAGTATAAACTGACCAAGCTGCTGTACAGTTGATAACTTAAAAAGACAAATAATACAGAAAAACGCATTGGACAAATAGTCAATAATTCTATAAAACATGATAAAAGAAAAACCTTCAATATTAGGGCACACAACACAGAAATACATTAGGATGAGCAGGAGTACAGGGGTTAGTGAACAAGGGAAGGCCAGTGGGGAGTAAAAGTGGGTTTTTAGCCTGGATTTGAATGTAAAGCAGAAACAGATTCCTCCTACAAATCATGTTTTTAGCATTCCTAGAACCTGTTTTTGGATACTTGATTGAACACAGACAAACTTCTATATACAATTTGTGTGTGTGCACACATACAGCATCTGTTTCTATTTAGTGGTACTGTTTATGGGGGAGGGGAAGTTAATCAAAAAAAACAACAGTTACCTTTAAATTATGTTGGTGGTCGTGAGAACAATGACAGTGATGATCATAATTATCCCACAGACAAGTGCAATGATATTTATGTTCCTGGCTGTCCTCGAAGCATCTTCTGCTTGAGCTGATTCCCCACGAGCATTAGCATTTTGTGCCTTAAAAAAATCAAAACTAGTTTCAATCTTCATGCAAAAAATATTTACAAAATGTGCAATATTGCAAAAGACAAAAATCACTTAGACTACAGAAGTAGAAAGCAATGTGAGGATTAAAAAAAAGGGCAATGTTAAGGTAAAGTTACCTACCTTGGAGGAGAAGACAATGGCAACAATGCCTAGAGGCAGACAACAGCATAAAGTGTTAAAGATGGACCACCCGAGGTAGGATGAAGACACAGAACGACCCTGGCCTTGTTCCATTCTCTGTCAAAGCAGATGGGAGCTTTGTTTTCTAATGTCTGGATGCAATGGCTGGCGGGGTCTGTGACGCACACCTTTTTATCCTTTATGGATGGAGTTTAAGGTGTTGTATAAAACTAACAGCTATGTGAGCAACCAATGGAGAGAAAAAAAGACACCACTAATGGGACTGAATAGAAATTGGCCTTCTAGGAGTCTTGTGACGTGAGCTTTACTGGCTGGGCTATAAAAGAGGCTCAAATTACTCACAACAACCTTTCAAAGCAACTGACCAATAAAAAATTGACTAATCTATCCACACCTGACCAGAAGTCAAATGCTGGACTTTGACTTCCTGGATTTTTATCTATAAAGATACAGTTTTTATTGTGAGTGGGTGATGGCGGAGACTTTGCCCAAGAATTATTAAGAAAGCCAACATAGCAAAACTAGGCTATCAAAGGCTGAAGTGTAGCTAGAGCCAGGGTAGTTATACTGCAGGTTGATGGCATGATAAGAGGCAGGTGAGCAGACTAGGAGGGTTGGGATGATGACGACTTAAAACACAGGGAAAGGCAAAAAATACAAGTAGACACTAGGAAAACACTATAGCCCTGTCAAAGTTGTAACAACCACTATATAAATATAAAATAAATATGTTTAAATACATAAGTATATATATACTACACTATTTAAATGAAAAATTAGGGTTTTGTGTGTACAAGTAAAAGTAACAAGTGTATACAGAGTATTGCACATTGTATCAGTCCTGGTACAACAGCAGCAGTCATGGTCATGAGTTGAGAAGTTTGTTGGCCTGGTGGTAAAAAACTTGTATCCATGCTCCTATATTGTTTGCCAGATGGTAAAAAGGAAAACAGTCAGTACGTGCTGGGTGGCTATGGTCCTTAATGATGCAGCTGATGAAAGATATCCTAAATGGCCGGGAGTTTGTTGCCAGTGATATGCTGTGCTGCTTCCACCACTCTGATTTGTGACTATTGGCAGCACAGTTCACATACCAGGCTGTGATTCAGCCTGTCAGCAAGCTCTTGCTGGTGCTCCTGTAGATGTTTCTGAGGATGCTGGTGTTTATGCCAAACTTCCTCAGTCTCTAGAGCTGCATTGCTACCTCTCTTGACCACAGTGTTTGTGTGTAGTGTCTTCTGTGATGTACACAGCAAGGAACTCAAACATCTTTGACTTACTTACGTAGACAGAGTCTATATATTTATTGATATCTGTCAGTCAGCTGTCTCGAAGCATTCCAGTAAGACCTTATCAGCGTCTTTGTTCCATTTGTAAATGGAAACCATCTTTTCCTGTTTCAGTTTCTATATATGCAGGCAGCGGTAGGATGGAGCAGTGGTCTGCCTTTCCAAAAGCAGGGAAGGGATGTGTAGCAGTCTCTGAAAGGTGTGTAACAGTGATCCATGTTCTGCTCTCCCCTGGTGGCAAAAGTGATTCCATAATACCATAATCAATGTTTGTTCTATTATTAATTGAAGAGCAGATTTTCTCACTGTCACCAAAATAGATTCACATGATTCTCTGTAGCAATCAAGAATATTTTGAGACATTTGTTAACTTATATTTTCCCCCTTTATGTTTAACCTTTGACCCGGAGAACGCATGCGCAGTATTTCGTGATGTGAGGTCGTTGGACCTGTCGCAGGTGACATGGTAGCCACGGTGGTGTTCTGTAATGAACTGTAATAAAGTCGATAAAGTTATATAAACGTAGTGTTTATTGATTCTAACAATTAACTGTCCTTAAAATTTTGAGTGACGTTTGAGTGCGTCACAATACGTCCCTGTTGGAGTACAGTACAGCAGCATTCCCCTTAAGTGAGCACAGATGACTGACTGTGCACCAGGTACAATTGGTTAATGGCAGTAGAAAAGCCTCCATTTATCATGTCTCGGTTGTACTGCCAGTAAATCAGATGTGCAAGATAAGGTCTGAACCACAGATGGCAGTGAGTCATATGTTTGCATTCAGGGAGCTTGAGCTGGGCGTAGACTGACGGTAAGTCAGTGATGGTCATTCACCTGGTTCGAGATCTTGTTGTAATGCATTTGATTCTGAGGGGGCTTTTCCTATTTTACATTTCGTTGTCTAGCTCAGGGAGTTTAGAAATGGAAAGCCCCTTTTACCTTTAAAAGGAGTAATGGACAGGAAGTATGTTGTTTAATCATAAAATACTATTATTATTATTATTTTCAATGTGATGCGATACAGGTTGATAGGGGTACAGTATTTGCACGTTTTGCCATATATTTTCCAACCATGTTTCGTTTTTATGTCATTAAAGAGGCAAATTATCGGATCGATATGGGTCCTATATCAGTTTATGTAACCAGGGGTCTAGCCCGCGAGCAGTGACGTGAAACTATAAACCGAATAATAAACACTGGAGGTTAGTTCCAGTGTTCGTTTTTAGTTGTGCAGTGCAGTTCCGTCGGGGAGTAACTCCCATCTTTTGAGAATTGACGTTCAGAAGAATGCCAGGAGCCATTTGACATGAGTTTTATATTGGCAGATCCAGAGTAAATAGGAAAGCATCGGAGTCAATGGACTAGCATTGGTCATCTGTATGTATCATTCTCTAAGCACGTACACTGTGTATCCAAGCGTGGCCCCTAGAAAAGCACGCTGTCACTATACAGTGTAAGCGAGAAGGCCCCTTATAGCATTCGTGGTCACTGCATGCTGCGAATAAGCAGCTCGTTAATTATTCTTAACGCTGTACAACCAAAGTTTTCCCAAGCTCTGCAATATCTCACACGGAAGGTGCATAACAGCAACACTACAGCATGATGAGTAAACTGATTATTTTGAAAGCAATTAGAATTCTCATCCAGTGGAGTTTTTATGCATTGTGTGCCTTGGAGTGTTAATGTTTGGTTGTGTCGATCGAATACTTGTCATTGTTTGAATCGCCTTCGTGTCTAAGTGTTCTGAAGGTAGACTCTGACTTTTGGAGATCCTGGTTAGTGGAAAGCGTTTCAGATTAGGGTGATTTTAAGATGTTAACAGCCTGTCACTATGGCATTGGTGAGATGTTAGAACGATGCAGTAGCCACCAGGTTTTCAGACTGGCTGTTACCACCATTCAGAATTGTCGAGTAATTACTAGTTACGTGCAGATCATATTTTGAAACAAGGAAGCACGCAAGTTAAATGGCAAGTTAGATGTTTCGAGTAATGTGTGTCTCTGGAACTGTTTTGTGTCCTAATTTTTTTGTAGCAGACACGCGAAGATAAAAGAGCCTCGATTAGTGGTGCGGTTGATGCTGTACTGGAGGTAACGCATGAGGACAGTTGCGCCTTGGAGGGATGGAGGTCGAAGTGATCTCCCTCCTTTTAAAGAACGCTTTGATAATGAGTCCAGTCTGGTGCGAGTGATGTTGTCCATCCATTGGATTCCCCGTTTGTGTGTTTGTGAGAATTACCATTGTTCAACACCAGAAGTAACTCACGCTACAGTGTCTGTCTTCATCACGCTAGAACGCAAGCGTTACATTGGACGGAGATGGTGGACGGTCTCATTCT